CAATTTAGGATGCAATCCAGCTCCAGGATTGGTTTAAGCTGGAGTTCAAAAGCTGGACATAACAAATCTAGTCGACACACAAACATAGGCTGATGTAAGTCAATTTGGAGTTTCTTCAAACTATAGTAACATTAGAAGTGGATCAAAACCTTTCATCAAAGTTATACATGAATTCTGAACAATACCCGTTCTCGTCTTAGGACAACTTTGATGAACTTTTTTGATCCACTTCAAATGTTGACTACTGTAGTTTCTGACTATTCTGGCTGGATGATCAATAATGTAGAGGCTATAGTCTGAATCAGCAACTCTTGAAATGCTTCTCGGGAGTGAGGACGAGAGACACCTCAATTTGTTGGAGACAAGAACAGGTACAGAAAGCGAGACAGACTCTAACAATAGCGCAAGCCTGTTACAACGTGTATCGCCTCAGTCTTTACAGCTGTTGTGACATATGCGATGGCAACAATATTTCGGAACAAACAAACCACATTAGAGGATGCTGAACTCAATTGGCTAAATTCAGCGTCAGGTAACACTGAATAAGTGTGCTGTGAAAAATCTCAGCCTCAGCGAATCACCTTCATGCAGCGGCTCTTATTTACTGTTATCCTACACATAACCGCCTGTCACTCCCGATACCCTATTAATTATTCATATAACACAAATGTCAACATGTCTCCATAGTGATAAAGACTACATCACATCGCTTCTCCTATTCTTTTAGGAAAACCAATGTATTACTTTGAATATATATATATAAAAATGACCCCATGCTTTTTTTTCCCTCTGCTGTAATATCTTTAAAACATGCTGGACCGACGCAGACCGCTATACATATACAATGCTGAATCACTAAATAGCAACATTAATAAAAAATAAAAAAATCCTCATCATTCTGCTAATGTAGAAGCCTCATTTTACAGGAATAAAGGCTATAGCCACATTCCAATATGAATGTGAAGAACAATGCGGACGGCAAAGTTGCATTAAATAAATCAGGCCCTGCACGAAAACCAATTTTAAAAAGTCATCGCCGCATGATAAAACCTTACAGAGGCAAATGAGGGAGACAAATGGGGAAGGCTCCAGCCAGAGCCGAATCTAATAACGTTTTAGGCCACACACGCGAGACAAAATGTGTTGAACCTTGCAGTTCTTTTTATGAGGGCTCAATGACCGGCATGAAATATGTGAGACTGCACTGTACTCACAGAAAAAATTAGAGCAGAACTTCATCACCACTAAAACTATTTAGGAAAAGATACAGTGCAAGGTTTGCTAACAATTCCTGCATGTCATTGGCGGAGCTGCTTTTTCTGTACACACGTTCGATTGACAGCACTAATATATATATATACACACAGTATATATCTATATATATATATAGTATCGCACAGAAGATATAGATAATCATAATCACAAATAAAAGGTTGTGTACTTTTTTAGTAGTGTTTATGTAAATATTTGACATCATGTTTCAAGATTAATGCAGAATGAACACAAACATGTATATCTTTAGTGTTTTTGAACATTGCTTTTTGATGAGAAATGATACCACGGTACAGGATCCAAAATGTCTGTAAAGTCTAACCTTCACTTCTATCTGTTTAAAAAGAGGCTTTTAGACATTCCTCCTGTTTGCCTTTGTGTAAAACCCAATTTCAAGTGTCCAATGTTTTGTACTGTTTGCCCATTTATCCAGGGTTTCCTCACAAAAAAATCTGCCCTTGGACTGCCTCAAATGTATTTAGAACCATTCATTTTCACTTGTTTGTTCAGGATCCTTAAAGAGATGGGATCATTAAAGGATCCCAAAAACCAATGTATCTTTCTTCCATGGAACATAAAGGGAGAAATGTATAAGCTGTTTTATTCAACATAATGAAAGTCAATGGTGACCATGACTGTCATGCAATTTTCAGTAAATAACGACAGTCTGTTCCTCACACAAAGCTGTCGTGTGGCTTCAGGAAACTTACAGCGCAGTTAAGAGTCATTTTCAGTCATTTTAATCCAAGAGAACAATATACATCACAAAATAGATTGACATCCCCATCCACTTTCATTCATGATGACGATCATTTTTTTTTAGGTTACACTATCCTTTTAAATACTGTAATAAGAAATTCTCACAATAACTTCAGGTCATATTGTAAGTGTGGGTATATTTGCAGAGCAGCTGCTGGGGTAGCCAGGTCAAAGAGAGAAGAGAGACTGTCTACCTTTACCTGTTCCTCAAGTTTAATGGTTCTGAGCACAAGCGGGCAACATGACCTAAGAGCGCATGCTGTCCACGTTTGACCCAGACACATATTTTATATGAAGGGCAATTGAACGCACAAGGACAAAAAGCCACACTACTACACAAACAATGTCTAAAATAGCCATCTTTCTGGAGATGAAATTCCAAAATATTCACATAAAGCACTTTTTTTGAGAGAGCTTGTTGAGGCTATAGAGCAGGGAGAGGTGCAACATCAAGGACATCTTCAAATTGTTTAAAATAAATGACTTTTGCTCAGAGGTTATTCACAAAATGAATGGCTGAGGAGGCATTTTCTGCTGTTCAAATTATAAAAAGGGTTCATTTCAATTTGATTGCATCGCTTCAGTAGTTCCTCTATAATAGTACATGTAGATGTGCTGAGAGGCCACGAATAAGCATGAAACCCTCTCCAAATCCAGCTTGAGCCATTAGATCTTTGAAGATAGCAAAGAAAAGACGAGCATGTCTACTAAAATGTTCTAAAAAAATATAAAGGTACATTTAGGTGTACCTTAGGTGTAATATTTATATTTGGGGACAGGAACAGGGTTGTGATGGTTTCTTGGCTCTGTCCTTGTAAAGATTGAGCCAAAATAATTTTTATTTGTAAGTCCTGAAATACACCCATGGCACCTCCTCAGAGGTAGTACAGCATTAGCAAATCCATGAATAATCATTAACGCCACAAATCTGATTAAAAAGCATGATAAAAAAGGCATGATCAAATCAATATTTGCCATTTTAATAAACATTGGTTTTCATATTATTTCCTGTGTTTTAGCTCACCTGCACCAACCATTCAGGTGTATGAATGGTGCTTATGTATGGATCATTATAAACCAAAAGTAAAATACACCGGAAACAACTCATTCCCTTAGCTTTAAACACAAAGCCAGATGACAGTATGTCAAATTAAAGAATTTCAATAACTACTGTACTAAACTGCTGCTCTGAGGTGCTTTTCCTAAAGCCAACTTCTGTCGCAAGTTCCGTCGTTACCAATAGACTTCAAAGTTGGCAAATGATGCTTTTGGGAAACGCACCCCTGGTTGATAGATCTGCCCTCAGAGACAAAGATCATAAAACCTCACATAGAACAGACAAAAGATCATCAGCAGCAGCAAGAAACAGGTTCCTTTAAAGACCTGTGAACAGATGAAACCAATCTCAAAGTAACTCCAGTGATGAAGCCTCTGCTGGAGAGTGTGAAACAGTGCCAGCACAGGCAGAAAGGTGAGCAGGGTGTGAAACCCTCCTGCCAAAACAGAAATCAATACAACCATGAAGTGAATTTCTGAACCAAGAAAATGTCAAGATTAAATATCACCTACAGTAAACCGTACCCTAACTACTAAATAATACATATTTAGCTTGAAGCATATTTTAGGACCATTACGATATTTGCACTGTGACATAATTCTCATGTCAATTAAGCACCCACCCCCCACCAAATGATTTGTTTATCAGTGGCAGAGTAAAGCCTATTTCAGTACTATTAACTGATGCAGATGGTTTCTAGGTAGTGACTAGTTAGAGTAAGTTTCTTGGTGTCCTTATGTGACCTACGGTCATCAGCATTCGCCCACGTTCTGCTGTTCTGGACATACAGTTCCAGACTGTGTGTCTTTGGTTTGTCAGCATAAGTCAATTTCTTCCTCTTCTGTCCTCACTTTGGAGGCTTTACCATATGAACATGCATGTGTTTAAAAAAAAAAGAAAAAACAGATACAGGATTCCTTCACCTAAATACTAGGTTATGGGTTGCTGGGCAGCACTTTGCTGGATGTTCAAATGAAGAAAAAACCTGCACTAAAAACACACAAAGTTAACCAAAGGGAGTGAATCTTTTTTATTTTGAATAACCCATTTTAGGGCCATTTTTAAATTGACATTATTTTCATTATCCTTACATTGTCCCTGAAAGGTCTCACTACAAAAATTCAAATCAACGGGATCCACATTACTTTAATGTGGTAAAATATGATATATTATTTAAAAATCATTGTAGCACTTGATATGCTGATCTCCTGTTTAATTAAAAGCCTGTATTGCAGTAACTGAGAATAAAATGAACATCACTGAGAATGAGCATAAAAACTACTAAAAATACAAACAAAAGTATTAAATCAATACAGAAATATGGGGAGAATGTACGTAGATTAAATGTCATGAAAATAGTGTACTGTAACAATGCAAAAAATCTTAATGGTCCTAAAATTTTCTTTAAACAAATATAAATTTATATATTACAGTTCAAGTTTTTTTATAAGAAATTAATACTTTTAAATGAATCGAAAGTGATAGTAAAGACTTTTACATTGCTACAAACAAGTAGCACGGTTTAAGCAGCACAACTGTTTTCAACATCAGCCACTTTTCCACTACTGGGCCAAACCGCTCTCATTGCTTAACCGTTCCATTCTGTGCCGATCCGGCCCACTCGGTACGGATACGGTTTCATTTTCAACTGTGAGGCTGATAATGGAGGCTCTTTGGAATGTAATACAAAATGCATCAGTCGTTGCCTCTGTAACGCAAGAGTTTACAGACGATATAAAGATGTAAATAGCGACCTCGTTATGGAGGATGATTCGATTTTTTATTTATTTGATTAACTTGTGTTTACTTCACTCTAGTATAGCGCGCTTTGCCAGCTATAGAAAACAGACAAGTGACCAATCCTGTGTGGCGATGTCACTACATGTATTCTACCAGCACGGTTCAGCCAGAGCCCGTCTTACGGAGAGCCTTGGCACTTCCTATTAGCCCCATTGTGTATCATCTAGGTTGCAGTTCCATTAGAATTCCACTGGAGGTGATCGCGGGCGAGTGCAGAATGAATGGGAGTCTATGGAGCTAAACGGCTAAATGTATCTCTTTCTCCTGCTTGTCGTTGAATCAACACATATTTTATAGTTGATTCCGCAAGTTCAATATAGATTATAGGCCAAAAGTCGAATAAACGAGTACTTATGTCCTTTCGATTTCTTACAGGTTAGGCCGTTGTTGGCTGGAACACGCTAGCATTCTGCTATTATGTGACGTCATCACATTTTTGAATGGATTTTTAGAACAGATAAGTGAACTTAAAAATGCAATTTTCCGCTGAGTGTATTATCTTAGCCCTCCCTTTTGAATGCAACTTTCAAATTACTTGACAAAAAATTACATCCTGAGAAAAGTGGATTTCTGGGGGTGAAACCCCATAGACTCCCATTCATTCTGCACTCGCCTGCGAGCGCCCCCGCATGGAAAGAGACGTGTTACTACAGCCAGTCCAGTAACCGGAAGTAACCAGACAGTGCCAATTCTCTTCAATTAGACATCCTCTGGTTCAGCCAACTGTTCTGAGAATTCACTTCGCAGGGATTTTGATTGGCAGGCGATATGACCAATAATAATCCACTAATCCACCATCCGCCAAATCCGCCATTTTGCCCGACAAAGCAGTCAGGAGAGTTAATAGATTAACGTCGGTGGACTTGAACTTAAAAAACGGTGTGTACTGACGTCTTTCAGCGGTTGAAACAACATTCCTTCTGATGGTCATTCATGTTCATTTGATGCTATAAATTAACTAGAAGGAAGAGATGATCGGTTCACGAGCAGCTTTAACTGAGGCTCTACAGCGGTCGGTCACGACACGACACATTAAAGAGCCAAACAACTTTAAATTTCTTTAAAAAATGACCATATTTAAAAGTTGAGACTTTGTTTCATATCAAAAGTCCTGTCTGTCAGCGCGTTGTCACTGTCTTCTTTGCTCAGCGATGTATTTTTCACTGCGTGAGAACATGATGTGTGGCGTGAGACAGGCATGGCTTGTCAGACATAGCAACAGAAACTAAAGGGGGCGGGTCTTTACGAACAGACAATTCCGGGCCTTGAACGGTTATTAATCGCGGCATGCCGTACCAAGCTCAAGTGGAAATATAACTGAAACCGTTTATTACCATTGTTCGGCCCGATGAAGGAAAAGCGGCTATTGATAATAATAATACATTTTTCTTGAGCAGCAAGTCAGCATATTAGAATGATTTCTGAATGATAATGAAGACTGGAGTAATGGGAGCCAAAAATGCACCTCTGCCATCACAGGAATATATTACATTTTAAAATATATTAAATTGGACAAAAAGTTATTTAAATGGTAATAATCTCTCACAATAGTACAGTTAAACTGTATTTATAATCAAATAAATGCAGCCTTGGTGAGCATAAGAGACTACTTTCAAAAACGTTCAAAAATAAAAGGGGGGGGGGGTCAGGGGGTGTAGATAGGATAGAGGGGGAAGGGGGGGATTTTAGGCTGAATTATGACATCGACATACTCTGGACATACATTGGGAGATTCCCCCCATAAAAAATTCCAACCCAGAACATTTGCACACCAAGCATGTAGGTAAAACCTGTTGCATTCAAATCCCACACCTTTAGTAACAGTGATGAGGACCCTTGCTGATGACAGCAACCATGATCTTCAGCAAGGGCACCAAAGTGGGGGAAATTGAGAGAAAGAGAAAAATGAGAATTGAAGTGAGCCTGTCAGAAACAGGACTAGAATAAAATGAAAGCAGACAGGCTAGGTTAGGACAACTCGGATATGGTGCTAAACATCTCAAGATTGCGAGAGTCGGCAGAGGGAGAGAAAGAGTGAGAAAGAGAAAGGGAGACAGACTGGTCAACTTCACAGATGGTACAGCGTGGTAAACACGACGATAACAGGAAGACAGCAGGTTAAGAGGATTTTCTGCAGTTTAATGAGAACGGTACAGATCATTATTAATGCTTTGTAAAGCAAGCTGGAGTTCCGACAATGGGATACAACGTTATTATATTACTTCCACTATAAGACGCTGAAAATTAGATCTGGCGGGGTGGAGGTAATCAATCTCAACCGCTTTTTAGCATTAACAAACTTTAATGAAAATAAACGACAAACCTGACAACAATATCTTTCCTTTCACACTAATGATACTTCAACCACAAATCCACCTTTTGTTAAACAATTCGGATTAAGAAGTACTTCAAACAAGGTCACATTCTTCTGAGTGAACTCTACGATGAGTAAATGAATATCTCCCACACCTACCTTCTGCATTTTAGCCTTCCTAGCATTCTGAAGCAGCCTGCGTCCCAGCTTCTTAGCGTACCAAATGGAGGCAAACATAGTGTGGCTGAGCGGAATCTCTCCGTATGAATTATGAGTAAACACTGTGGAAGAGTCACCAGCCACAGCGTCAGAGAAAGAGAGAGAGAGAGAGAGAGAGAGAGAGAGAGAGAGAGAGAGAGAGAGATGCTCTTCACACTCCTCTCCCCTCAGTAATAATCTACACACACACACACACACTCAGCCTAGAGCAGGTGAGAGAGAAGGAGGGAGGGCAAAAAGAGACAGACTGCTCAGAGAAGTCGCAAATCTTACATGCACTCTCTTTCTCATTAACATCTCACAGATTTTTTTCTCCATTCTCTTGTCTGCAGGTTTATTTACATATTGTCAATTGGAGGTCTGAGCAGTAGGTTTTCTCCTTGACGGTATCGTGTGCAGGATCTTAATCTGACGTGCTAACAGAACGGGCGACCCTGGGCCACTACAGCCCCCTTGTCACTGAGGAGTGGTACATGAGTCTGCCTGGCCCCGGTTCAGGGGCTCTTCTGGCTGTGTGAGAGATGAATGTGGTTCCCCAAGCTACTGGGATAAATCATCTAACACTCCTGAGGTTCCTCTGGGACCAAAAACACAATCTGTCTGTGCCATCAGTTAGGATAAACATGAGCTGTATCACTCACACTTCTGAAATGCTTTGCTCAATTTCACATCTTCGTGAGACCGCTACTGTCACTGAACATAATGCACAATAAGCAACTTATATTGTGTTGTAAAGAACAAAAAAACACAAACAAGATCTAATCAAAGGTAAAGTTCACCCAACAATGGAAACTCTATCATCATTTACTCACCCATTTCTTCTGTGGAATGATGAAAAATGTCTTTCTTTTTTCTTTTTTTTAAATGCAATGATAGTCAATGGGCTCCAATGTTATTTGGTTCCTGACATTCTTTGAAACATTTTCTCCTGTGTTTCGCAGAAAAAAAGTAAGGTTTGGGATTATATGAGGGTGAGTAAACGAATCAAAATGTTTGGGTCCCTATAACATATCAATTGTCTATCAAAATGGAGACTTATGCTAAAGTATCCTGTTTCTGAAATCTTCCTCCTGAGAAGAAAGAAACTCAACAATCTATCCACTAATGTTAGACAAGGTCTCAACAAACTGCCCAGATTTGCTCAGAGATACAAAAGTCTGCAATCAAAAGTCAGAGATCTTAATATGAACTGAAACCTTTTTCTTTCTTTTAAAAGAAAATCTTTTAAAAGACCAAATACTTTGGGCTCTGCTTTACACATTCACTCTACAGCTCTATACTCTCTGAAAGTTAACAATTATCTCAATTGTTTCTATTTTAAACTCTCCTATGGGATTGTAAGAGACAACAATGATACTTAATGAAGCATAAATGAGGACCCAATTAAAGGCTGTGTCTACATTTAATCCGGATACATTCATTTCAAAATGCTATCCGTCCACACTAGCGTTTTCAAGCGTTTTCCAAAACTTTCTCATCCACAAGGTAGGAAAACACTAAATTCATCTTACAGCGCATGCGTAAAACCTCATAAAAGCTCCCTGAGATGAAATGGACAGGACAGACATAAAGTTTTCATACTATACTTCTGGTAGAATTATTTTTGTTTAGCAAAATATCTCACCATTCACTGATACGTCCAGGTCGCACTCAGTCACCATTATATGTTTGGTCTAAAAGGAAACTGCTTTCATGTTTTCCAGCAGGACAGCAATTGCGAGTACATTTTCTGTCACCTTTCCAGGACTGAGATATGAAGAGTGTACAAAGTAACATATCAACAGTGTGAAAATGAATAGCACACAACAGACACAATAGTGGTATATCTATCGGTACAATATCAGTCACATGACTAAAAATGTTTCATTTTCGAATATCGTTTTCAAATTTATCCACTTGAAAAAGTGTTTTCAAAAAAGTCAATTTTCGCAGGACAAAAACACTGTGTCAATGTGGACAGAAAGCCAAAACCAATAAAAAAAGATGCATTTTCAAACGAAAATGTATTAGTGTGGACAAGGTCAAAGTTAACATGAAATGGAATTTGCAACACATACTTCCAATTTTTCAAAAAGAGTAAATTGTAAAGGTAGAATGGGTTCTCTTTCATAGGTTCACTCAACGCTGCGGAAAGCGCAGTGGGATATTCTCTGAATGTGCCGATTGTCTGAAGCCTTATAGAATCACGCCAATTCATTGGCTGATGGCGTCCGCGCGATATGGCTCCGCCCCGACGCTCTTACGTCGCATCATTACATATTCGCGCGCGCGCGCCATCTGCTCCTCAGATTTCTCTACCTTCAGAGCGAAGCGGTCACGTTGCCCTTCGCTCGTGATTTTTCTGAGCTACAAATACATCTGGATTATTCTCGGCGCTTCTGCGACTGTTCAAGCGGAACTCTGTTTCTCCTTACGGTGAAGTTGCCATGGATTACAGACGCTGTACTCCGCCATGTGCTCGTTACATCGCTAACGACGACCCACACAGTAAGTGCGTTAAGTGTTTGGGTTTTTCACATGCACGTGAGGCAGTTATAGGATCGTCTAAATGCAAATTCTGTGAAAATTTGTTGCTCAAAACCCTCAAATCGCGGCTCGCGGTCTTTGAGAGGGAATCATTCGTCTCCCCCTGTCGCGCTCCCGAGGCCTCTCGAGGATCCGCGACATGGGGTTCGGATGTAGAGCTTGAGGATGTGGAGTTCGAGCAGACGAGCCCCGCTCTTTCTCTCCCTCCCTCCCCTCAGCACGCGCGAGGCATGCCAGTCGAATTTTCACACGATTATTTGCGCCCCAGCCCGGGAGCACGCGATGCGGTTTCTTTCGGGCTGGAGGATATACTTTTTACCGAGGCTTCCGACTCCGAGGATTTCGGGCCTACTCTCGCCGACGAGGTTATCCCGCCGAGTGGCCACGAAGCGCGGCCTACTGCGGCCTATGCGGAGCTCGTTGACGTGCTTTCGCGCGCTACGGAGAAGCTCACTATTGATTGGCCCGACGAGCCACGTGAGTCTCAGTCGTCGAAACTCGACGAAAGGCTTCTCAGTGGCCCTAATTCTAGGCCTCAACGGAGGAAGCTGCCATTTTTCAGTGATCTGCATCATGAGATCTCCAGATCCTGGAAGCAGCCTTTCTCTTCGCGCCTCACTAATGCGGCTGCTGCTGATTTCACCAACCTGGTAG